AAAGAAAAGGGAGAAGAAGCAATTGTCGGCAAATGAATATGAATTTTTAGTTGTTTGGTTATCAAGAAAACAAAAGAAAAAGTGATGATTTGTTGAAATTCTCTTCTTGAAGAAGATGAACAGTATCGTTGATTAAAAAATGAAGGGGGCTTCTTTTTTTTTTTTTCATTTTTGGATTTTCAAAAAGCAAATTCATCGATAAATCAAACGTGAGAGGTACAAAAATGATTTTGTTTGGTTAATTAATAAAAATTAATTTGATTAGTAAGTTAGATTATTTTTTGAATTATTTTAAATTAATTTGATTAACTCTTACCATTTATAAAATGTAAGATTAAAAATTAAAAATTTTAACAAAAATATTATTTGATTGCATTGTAAGGACTTTTTTTTATAAAAATACATATTTATATTCAATCTTACAATACTCTAGACATAATATCAGATATTATATAATTTAATATTATCAATTCTATCATATCTTACGTTATAAATGTATTCATAAAAAATATTAACATTATCCAAAATAGTAAAAGGTTATCAACTAGCACCACATGTATTGAGTCTTATGTTCAATAATTATAATAATAAAAGGAAAAAGATCCATTGACAAATGAATTGGGAAATTAGTCCAAAGTGGTAACGATAGTCCAAATTTGCACCTGTGCAATGAACATAATAGGCAAATATCAATGCCCCTCTTTTTTCATGTTCGAAGTACTCTTGGAAGAAAGCCTAATATTCCACACTAACAGCTACCTCTCACCCACCGGGGCCACCCCAACCAAATATTCCACAGCCGGCGGCAGCTAGCTTTAATGGAGAATTTTTGGGTTGTGTTGAGTTGTACCCTGCTTTAGTACATAAATATGTCAGTTAGCGTTGCCATGTCTGAACCATACTCTCCATTACTCTTTTCCTTCTCATGTAATTTCCCTTTGTCTCTCTCACATCTCACATCCCAAAAATCCCACGTTTTTTGCTATGCTCTAGCAGATGGTGAAAATTTAAAGGCATCTTCATCTGTTTGGTCATCTCCAATGTAGAGTTCTGGAAAACATTACTTGAATGGGCATATTCAGATTAGTCAATTCTACATTGGTGATGCCGAACAGATCAAGATCCCTTCCAAGCTGGTTATCGATCTCATGCTCATCTCTAGTCTCTCTTTTTCTTTTACTTTTTTCTTCTTCTTCTTCTTCTTCTTTTCACTTTTCGGTAAGAGTGTTGTTAGATTAGTTTTTGTATACCTTAAAACTAATCACTCCTCAAATAATTTTAAAAACACATTCTCACATCAATCTAGTGCATTTAAATAAATTAATTTCTTTTAATGTTAACCTCAAAACTTAAATCCCACACCAAGTGTTTAAAACAACACTTATTTACTAGTACAATCCTTGGGGTTTTTAGTTTTTTTTTAGTATTAAAAATATTAAAATGTCTAATCCCAATCACATTATAAATAAAATTTAAGTGAGAGTGAGATTTACATTATGTAAGTCTCATGTGATTATTATTAAACATCTTATTTTTCCATAACCTCTCATTTGCATAGTGTAACTTACTGTATTTAAATGCATTATTTCACACACAACGTGCAGGTTTTCCGTGAAGGAGAGCAAGGATTTGGAATCCAAAGGAAACAATTGCCTCTTATTCTCCACAAGAGCCAGTTAAGATAATTAAAAATTTGGAATGCTTCTAGCTGTGAATTAATCTTCTTTTTTTTTTTTTTTTTTTTTTAAACACATTTTAATTTTAATTGTCTAATTAGAGTAATATAAATTTTCTATTTTGACAGGTTATGGATTTTTTGTGGCTTTTGGTGGAGTGGAAACGGTAGTTCAACCCGACGATGGGTCGATTAACTAAGAATGGTAATGTCCTCCTTGATAGGTTATGACATGAAAAAGAAGCCTCGAAGAAAAGAAGAGTACATAGAGGCGAGAATTCTATTTTACAATTTAAATTGTAAAATAAAAATTATTAAGTAAAAAAAGATTTGGTATCAAACAATTTATTTTTTATTTAACTATTTTCGTTATATAATTTGTATAGTTTAAACTACATAATA